AGAAAACACTGCGACCTCTTGTCAAAAGAAACAGGACCTCATGTCACCCAAACAAACGTCATGCTTGCCGTTCTAGTGACCTCACGTCGAATGCGGCGGCAACTCAGCGAAACGCTCCACTGATGCAAGTTCATTCACCTCTAGCTCAACTCTCTACATTTTGAGTCGCTTTCTTAGGTAAAGCCTGCTGCCTTCAGATACGCCGACGCTTGCTGGCGTTGACTACATCTATCACCGACTTGTTGTCAGCATCTTTGAAACACTTGCTGCATTTGGGCCAGCTAAAGATCGACCCCTCAGCCAAGACGGTGAAACCGATGCCATGGAGTCCACATGACGTAACAGGCTGCAAATGGTTCTTCGGGTCAGGGTTCTGCGTGTGCAGCATGCGGCTCCTCTTGTTCTGCATCAAAGGCCCTTTTACCTCTGGCTCCAAGCCGCTCTCGATGACGCTGGCCTTCTCTTTGTGCAGCTCTTCTTCGTTGTCGGAACTTGCGCTCGAATCTTCACTCTCACTGGCGCTCTCCACGAAGTCTTCGCCATCTTCGTCTCCGTCATCTCGAGCACCTTCTTCTGGCTCTTCCTTGCGCTCTTCAGCGTTGCCAGATCGTTCAGGCTCTCCGAAGGGGTTGTTCGGGTCAAAGCCGGTGTCGGCAGAAACATCTTTTTCACCCTCCAGACCCGACGGACTCCCAAAGTAATCTGCCTCATCGTCACCAGGTGCATGTGGCTCAAACAACGGTGCCTGTTTTCGCACCATCCACCCAGAGCGCGTCCCGTCTGGTACGAAGTTCCCAAGCTTGATGTTGTAGACCATGGCGCAAAGCTCACGCATGGGCTGGCTCAACATGTCCCGACTGTAGCATGCCACACTATTCTCTTTCAGAGAATGATGCCCCAACAAACCGCGTACTGGCTCGCTCAAGCCGTATCGTGCTGCCCAAACCAGCAGGGTGCTCTTCAAGGAGTGAGTGGTTGTGGCGGCTTGGTCACCATCTCTGTATCCCAGGTATGCATTGATCATGTTCGTCCCCTCACTCGTTGACACGGGCCTTTTGGTGAAGCCACCGTCAACCGTAGGAGCTCTGCAGATTGGACCATGAGGCGGTCCCAGCTCAAGCAGCCCAAGTTCCTCCAGAACGACTTTCCACTTAAGGCCCCAACTGCCGCTGCCTATGCCATTCACTGAGGCCACATACGGCATGTACATCGCTTTCCTTTCTGCAGTGGTCGAAGTTTTGTGGATTCTGGTTCTGGCTTCCACGAATCCAAAAGGGCCATCACTTGTGTCTATCACATCGAAGAAGAAGTGGTGGATGTTGGCCATGTCGCTCCATCTCGAACGAGAGTAGATGGCATAGAGGATGCACCCGATGAAGTACTTGTCATACTTGTTCTTGACTGTGTCCAGCATGACCTCAAGCCTCAACACCTCTGCCACTGTCAATGGCCTAGCTTGTTCAGTCGGGTCTCTGGTCGCCAGAACTCTGCTCACTTTCCCGGTCAACATTGGACCCAGCACAGCTTCGATGTTGAACTCTGCTCCAATGATGTACTTGAAGAACTTTAAAGCATGGATGAGGTTCTTGCCGATGAACTTGCTACGCTTCTCGTCCTCCTTGCCCTGCAAGTAGTCGAGAAGGTTCCGCTCCTTGATGGGCCACCACCGCAGGTCATTCTTTTCGCACCACTTCACGAAAAGGATCAAGTCTCGAGCCCTCTTCAACACGGTGGAGGGTGAACGCACCCCGCACGCATCTCTGATGCACAGCAAGGCACCATCCCTGTCCATGGCCTGCAACTTCTCCTGAACGTAGTGACCAACTGACGATTCGAAGTTGCAGTCCTCGAGAACAATCAACCAACTTGCCAAAGCTTTAGTCCAGGTGAGATCTAACGTTGCTGCATAATCTCTGTCACACAGCGCTTTGATATGCTTTGCATATAGCGGCATGTCTCCAGGCAAAGAAGATGTGACACCTGTGACCTCAACTTTCAGTCTTGCGTCATCTGACGATCCAGGGGCCGCTCCAGCTGGATAAGCGACTAGGTCCTCGAGCGTGGGCAAGTTGTCCGACTTTGCTTCTCCAAAAATCTCCTTGGAGATGCCCTGCTCCCATGGCAAGGCAGGCATCCTGCGCCAATCGATGTCAAGCTCTGCTCAAAGATTGTCCTCTCATAGTTTGCGCGCTCCTTCTCAGTGAAGATCGGACTTTTGTCCAGCACCTGTCGTCCACGTGCCTGCCCATCGCCAGGCAAGCCGCCAACTTCAAAGTTCACTTCAAGTGGAGCCTCGTCGGCTGCCAACATTGGCTCTTCTTGTGGCTGGCCCTAACCAGATGAATTGCCAGCTTCGCGGTCTGTTCCATGAGGTGCTTCTTCAACAACAACGGCAGGCAGGGCTTCAAGCCAAGCAGAAAGTCCAGGTTCGTCCATGGCTCCCCACTGCCCAAAAGCAACACGCGCAAACTAAAAGAGGTCCCACCCACCTCTCCCTTGAACAGAGACTACGTGTCATGAACAAATTCCGAATACAAGCTTCCAAGGAACGCAATGAAACATCTTCGAATTGAATCAAGTTTGTTTCACTAAACTGAAACAAATACGTTTCGATTAAATAAGTTCTTTGTCAACTTCGTCAACTGCATTCAATATATATATATATATAACTCTCTATCACTTTACCCGATGCCAAAAAGCAGGAAGGGCTCTGACATTCGTCCCCTTTCGACCCCACCGACGTACCCGTCCACCCGGCCCCACCGAGCTTCCAGGGAGCTCTGCCACCGCTTTGCCGCGCCACAGGCCTTCACCGCGGCGTTGTGGCACTCGGTGCTCACCTCGTAGCGCCAGCGAGGCAGCTCCTGGCGGCCGGTGCCCCGTGTCCGGTGGTGTTCGGGCGTTGTGGCAAGAAGGGCATTGGACCGGTGAGACCAAGGACCACGGCCCGGTGAGACCAAGTCCAGAGATGGTTCAACGGTTCAACCACCATGGCAAGGTTCACCTGGGCTTTAACGGTTAAACCTGAAATTCTCGGCGCATGGGTCGGTTTGTTGCTCGGAGAGCTGCGCAACACCAAGGCGTCTCTGTGTCTCCATATACATTCTAATGCACACCGCACACCCATATCATATCTGCATGTCATGTGATGACCAAAATGTGGAAAGTGCCTATAGGGTAAGTCCAAGTTTCTTTCCAGGGTTGCTCAGGCAGACGGCACTTGTGCTAAAAGCTTTTGGGGTTGATAACACTCTGCAAGACTCCAAACTCACCATTGGAATTTGGAATGAAGGAAGGCCACTGAAACCTGAAGCCGCGATCAAGGAATCGCTCAGTTGACACGCCCATCTACAGCCCCTCCTCCAAAAGCTTCAATGCCATCCGCCACGCATGGCCTTTGGAGGCACCCTCCGCACGCGCAAACGCACTCATCAAAGCACAAGAGCATTCGCTACTGAGCTGGTCCGGCCCGATGCGACCACTCCGCCACCCGTGGCGGTGCTCGTTCCGCTTCAGGGTCTGCATGAAAGTCGCCAGAGCCAGTTGCCACAGCTGAGACTTGGAGATGGATGAGATCAAGGTGGTGACACTCACGGCATCACAGAGTTGTAGCTTGGACATGTCTTGGAAAAGACACAGTGCTGCTTGCCAGTGGCTGCTCTTCTCACAAGCACCCATGCCGGCATTGAAACAGCCTGCATCCACTGGATAGGCTGCCTTCTGAAAAAGGAATTCCGACCTTGGTTTGGCCAACTTCAGGCGCCCCCTGAAGGAAGACAAAATGAAAGAAAGCAAGCAAAAAGACCCACTTATAAAATCTTATAAAAAGTATCCGGGAATGGTACAGAACTCACAGCACGAGAAACGATCTTTGCCACTCGCTGCTTTCCCCCAAAGCCGCGAGCAAAGATGTCAAGGATGATGCATCCACTAGATTGCTCTCGCATGCCCTGTCGAAGAAGACCAGGGCTATTGGCCAATGGCTCGCTGATACACTGATGGCCGCACCATAGGTAGCTCTTTCGGGCACTTCTTCCTTCAAGATGATGCCCTCAAGGACTCCAACGGTCATCTGCCAGCTCTTCGTTCCGGTAACGAAAGCATTGAGGCTGATGGTGTCCGGCTGGAGCCCCTTCGCTCGCATCGTCTCCAGAATCTCGCGCGTCTGCCTCCAAGAGCCGCTTTCGGAGCTCAACCGTGCGCTGTAGCTGATGACGTCTAAGCGAAGAGCTGAGCAAATCATGGCTTGAACCAGCAGCGCCGTGGTCCGCCATGTGTCGTTGTGTTGATACAAGGCCATGAAGCTGTTCCAAGCGATGGCATCCTCAGCTGGAACGGTCCCCTTGGCTCCCATGTGCTCCCATCCTACACCCTCCGAGCTCCTTCGGCCGTTCCCCGTCCCTCCGAGCATCGGGCAAGCACCCCATGCCACGCGCCCGGGCAAAGCAGTCGGCCGCTCGGCGCCAGCGGCCAGAGCGCCGGCAAGCGCGCATCGCCAGCGTTAAAGCCACAGAATCCAAGGGAATCGAAGCTCGACACATCTGCTGCAAGGCGTCCAGTACTTGATCCCAGCTGGAAGAAACGCCTGCGGGCTCAAAACAGCTGGACAGCTGCCGAAGGAGCAGAAAAACACCAGAACAACCATCAGTGATGGAATGAGTTCATGTATACGGGGCCCGCTTCTTGTTGGCCAAACGAGGTTTACAATTCTCTATGGTCCGTTCTTCGCCTGGCGGGAAGTGAGCACGCAGATGGCTGAGGTGTGTGCTCGGTCTCCACCCTTGAGGGGCGACTTCGTTTCCAAGGCCCCTTGGCGCCAGGCCCGCCAGGCCCCTCTGCTGCGCACCATGATTCAAGCCGGGCTGAGCTGGAGCCATGAGGTCTGGATGATAAACCCTCAAGTCCTGCTCTTCCTAACACCCCCCAACTAACATAGGGGCAAAAGCATGCCCCCATTCAAAGCTGAACAACCAGGTGTTTGCTGCTCAGCGGGCTCAAGCCTGACCCGTCTTGTCCATCTGGGCCAGCATGGGGCCGAGGATGGTGTCAATATCTACCAGGTTTTCTGCCTGCGTCTTGATGGTCGCGACCTTGGTCGGCGGCTGCTCGGGTATCAAATAGAAGTGAACACTTAGAGAAGGGGCCTTGGATAAGGGATACCCTCTTGCAGTTTGACCACTCCCAAATTACCTGTCTGCTCTTCACGCATCCCTAACATTTCCTGTGAGCTTGAGGCCTAACATGTCCACCTGCCCCTCCCGAAACTGACATGAGGTACCTACTCTGTAAATAATATGTGAGCAACACTTCTTTCCTGGTGTGTCACTCAAATCTATATCAGTGAGCCGCGGTCGATATTGGAAGCAAATTGGTCTCAGGAAGGTGTGGGACGGTCAATTCTTGAACCTCTTTCTAATGTGCCACATTCTGCCACAAAGCGGCACAGCTTTGGAGGGATGGCCTTTGACCAGTTCCACCCACCCGGGTAGCATTCACAAATCCATCGAAGGCAGGCACGGGTATGTTGATGGCCCCAAAGCCCCCTGCAGGCAAAGCCACAAAGCCCTGGATCTTCTTCGAAATCCAGTCAAAGTCAATCCCCTCAAGGAGCCTCAGGTCCAACATGCGCACAGTCGTACGAGGAGCCTTGCGAACGAGCGGGGGTGGGCCCACCATCTCGGTCGTGGCCCCCCACCTTTTGCCGGGAATCCTGGAAGTTGCTCAGATCTCCAACGATCCATTCGCCTCCAAAGGCTTCGAAGTTCTTCACATCAAACAGAGTCCAGCCCAAACCAAACACCCCGCATCCCGGTTTCAATGAAGCAGCCTGCCCACTTTGCGCGACCCAAACCCACCAGAAGTACCCTGCAGGCAAAACCCAAAAGCCTGGTTGATGCGCCTAACTGCACAGAACGGACTGGAAGGTCAACCTGCCATGGTTTCGACCCGCCACATGAGAACAGCATCCACGATCGACAACGCCCCCTCGTTCTGCCCCGGGCGCTGGTTGTAATCGTAAAGCATCCGTCCTTCTCGCCCAGCCTCCCGCAGCCTCTGAGAGCGGACAGTGGACAGGCTGCCCGGAGTAGACGAGATCGATCGATCCCCTTGGAGTCAACTCCACGCCCTTCAGCTCGCTCTTGGGATGTTTGCGCCCTTCCAGGTGAGGGGTCCTACTTGCTCAACCCACGCCCACATGTTGGAATTCAGTCATATCCGGACTTGAACCCTTCAGTCTCTTAGCCAGGCTGGTGGGGTTGTCAGCTTGCGGACCACAGCCCATGCAAGCCTTCTTCCTATCGACTCAATTGTTGCATCAAACAGGCCCTTTTCCGTGGGTCACAGTCATGCACCCTCTTCGTTTTCAAAAATGATCAACAGGGACCCATCAAGACAAAAAAAAAAAAAAGTAAAGTCAGTACCAGGACCCCCTGTGTGTTTGGGGTTTCTGTAAGCCCCAAACAGGAGTCTTAGAGGTTTCCGGGGTGTCCATTAACCACCCCCTTGGTGACAAACACTAGAGATCCTTGAATTGACTGGCTCCCTCTTGTGCCCAGCTTAAGCGATCGGCCTCCGGCCGCCCAGCTTGGAGACGACGCTCACCACGGTGTCCTCAAACGGCGGACGGTCTTGGGCGCAAACCGCAGCACCGTGGGGAAGGAGCGAGGTCGTTTTTGGGAGAAAGAAACGGTCGAGTCGGAAACGATCCCATGGATTTTCATGGTCGAGTTGCACCCCGCAAGATGTTTGTTCTTCCTCTGGCTGCACCCTGTGATGTTCTCCACGGGATTGTCAAACCAACGGGCCCTTTCGCCAGCGGCGATGGCGCGGCACCTCTGGAAGAGAGGCCGGAGGCGGATCCTGTCCTTGATCTGTGAGAAGATCCCTAAGGCCTTGTCCAAAGATGTGCCCAGCACATCCAAAATACTATTGCCTCAGCTCGGCAGGTTGGTCATCTGTTGGAGTTTCCATCCCTCATTGAGGCACATAAGACAAAAGAACTCACGAGTCACTTGATCCATTGACCTACAACCAGCACCCAGTGGCATTCAGATGTCCATACACCATCAGCAGCATACTGCGTGAAGCTTCAAAGCAGGAAAAATGGTGGGACACGAACTCACCGGTGTCTGTGAGTTTCTGGCTTCCTACCAGCAATTGTCTTAAGAGTCCCTCCAAGTCTCTAATGTTTCCAAAAATCGTGAAGAATGAGTCGAATGTCCGACCTCAATATACATAATTCACTAGGGTAAGAATCCAACACGTCCACTGCGAGCGGATCGAGCCAGAGATGCTACTGATGATGGACCTCACGCAGTGCACAAGCTGCGAGAGCATGCCCTGGTTGGTGGTGATCTCCATCGCACCGCTGGCTTCTGAGCGAGAACCGGCGAGGATCGGCGAGGGGCAGGAGCCAAGGACCCCCAAAGAAACGCGTCCAACAAAACAAACCATCCATCATCTTGGCGCCAACGGAAATGGATCCAACGATTGGCGCCAACTCTGAGAGACCCCTTCCAACCCACCAAGACCTGCATCCTGGGAACACAAGGAACCCATTCTTAGGTCCCGTGTGTGTGTGGGGAACATACTCGAAGAACCTGAATGGGGGGAGGAAGACCTTGCAGCTTACCATGCTGACCTGAGGTTAAAAGCTTTGAGTCGCCCGCTGTGTCACGGGAAGCTTTGCATGGCATCTGGAGGCCCAAAAGCCCAAGTCCAAGAGGCTGGCAAAGGCCGGCTCCAACGGCTGGAAATCTGAGGCACGTGCGAGAACGGCAGGGTTCCGGATGCGACGGGGTACTCAGGGTACTCAGGGTACTTGGAACTCACCTAGATAAATCGGTCATTCTGCCGCACTTTCATGGAACAAAACAGGCAGAACTTCGGGGCATGGCGTCTGACAAAACAGGTGTGTGACGGAAAATGTGGCAAGAAGGAGTCGAAAGCCCTTCCGTTTGTTCAAGCTGCGTGTACCAGCTGCGTGTCAGCAGGCGCAATCACGTCAGCAACGTGCAGCTCAAGCATTCTGAGTGGGATGCACAAGCATTTTCCAATTGAAATGATCTGGGGAAGTAGAGCTGACGCCAAGCCGAGGTGGAGGGAGGGTTCGAACACGCTGGAGAAGGAAGAGTGGGGCGGATGCTGCCAGAATGACATGCTGAGAGTGAGAAAAAGACACGAACGAATGCAACATACCTCGCATGCGAAGTGCGGTACATGTAGCAGAGCTTGCGCCTAATGTCTTTTCGCTGCATATAATCAAAAATAGAATAAAACGGATGTTTCACCTGCCTTGGTTCACCGATGTTCACCTGCCTTGGTTCACCTGCCTTGGTTTCGGATATTCAGGTCTTGACCACACACGAAATCAAAGAAGAAACACAGTAGACTTGCAGTGGTTACTGTACGTATATTATGTGTATATAGTATGTGTATATATATATACATATGTGTGTGCGTGCAACGGGAATGGCCAACTCAACTTTTAAAATCCTATCCATCTTTTCGATTCCTTCCGCAGCGAGGCTTCAAACTGCCACTTCCTTCACTTCTTCCATGCGGGAGATGGAGTGGCCAAATTCCTGCTGCACTCGCAGCTCAAAACTTGAAAGGCTGCTTCGCAACAGGCTCTCGTTTGAAAGTTCGAGCCGAATGCGCTTCACTAGGTTGGCAGCTTCCTGGCGCACTGCCGACTCCAATTCGGAACTGAGGATGCCATAAGCCAAGTTGCCCTCTTTAGTTGCCCCGGACTGTGCCAACCTTTCTTCGGCCGCATCTAACGCCACCAAGACCTCTTGGAGCACCTCTGCCTTGCCTGCTTGAACAGCCCAGGCTACCGTGGCCCAGGCCAGCTCAGCATGGCGTCGCTCGTCCCGGGCGACCTGAAGCAAGAACTCGCGGACGCCTTGGTGAGAGGCAAAGCGAAGGGCCAATGATGCTCTTAAAGCAGCTGGCGTCTCACCGAGAATGGCCTCGAAGACCGTCTGCTTTGCCAGCTCCATGAGACTCACGGGAGCATATTCCAAGCCATTCAAAGGGCCCAGCTGATAGCCTTCACCAGACCATCCCCGTGCCAAGGAGAAGGCCAATTGGGCATGCCGCACCTCCTCCCGGCCCGCTTCCAAGGTGCGATCCACCAGCTGCGCTGGTGCTGCCAGCTGCATCAACTCCATGACGACCCGAGCAAAGGAGGCCACGGAGGCATGTTCCGCCAAGCCCACCGAAACGAAGTGCGACGCTAAGTCTGGGCTCACAGTCACGGAGCCCCAGGGGTGGCCCTTGTTGGGGCCCGCGCTCGGGCTTGTGCCGCTGGCGCCGGTCCAAGTGTCCGGCTGGCTGGATCGATGAATTGAGGCCACACAAGTTCCGTTGTCGGTCAAAAAGGCGCGTCCATCGACTGCGACTGCTTTGTCATAGAGTTGGCATGTGCAGTTGCCATCCTGGCCCAGGAAGGAGACATTTCTGCACACTTCACCATCGCAAAGGCTCTCATTGCGACTATTCAGGCACCAACTTGACTCAGTATCATTGACATTACTGGGATCATTTGAATAATACTGGCAATCGCACCCCTGGTAACGGCATGGTTGGGAGGTCACTGGGTCGGGGTCGCTTTCAGTGTCACCACAGCCTTGGAGCATCACACAAAGGAAAAAGGTGGCAAGACCTGGCACCACAAGGCCGGCCGCCGTGCTGGCCATGGTGTGCTCCACTCGTCTCGCTTCAAACACAACAAGTTCACTCTCAGAACGGCTTGAGCAGCAAATCGGGGCGATGGTGGTGTACGATTGCACAATTGATGAGAATGTAGAGGTTCAAAAGAAGCAACTAAAGACGTCTACATCCTTCCCCCTTGACATACCAATTACAGTACCTTCTGCATGCGCGACCCGGCCGGACCTCGCCTTGGTAGATGCCCGTCATCTTGGTGCCCAGCTCCAGCATGCTGGTCCAAGCCTGGCCTGTCAGCTGGGTGCCCTCACCGATGTAGCCATTCCTCAGCTGTGGGGCCCGATGAATCGGGCTGGGCAAGCGCCAGGAGCGTGACTGAAGCTTGTTGGGAAGGTGAAGCACTGGAGTTAGGGTTGTCTACAGCGTACTCTGCCCCAAACCCCATAGGTTCACGACGTCGGATTCATTCATTGATGTACAGTATTCCGGTTTGTGATCAGGGTATTTGAGTGGTTTCGAACCTGAAATGGGATAGGCGGAATGCATGCCAAAAGCCACACCTCCCACATCTTCCATTCGCACCGACGAACTAACCCCAGCATCCTTCTCACTGAGTCCAGAAGCGCACTCTGAATGAGGCTCGCCGCCTCCTGGACCCCCACGACTTTGTTGGAGACCTGCCAGGACCACGGACCACTCCCCTCCAGCTGCCGTGCAACCCGCGAAAACACGGTTCATGTTCAGTGGGCATCGCAGCTCGCCTGGCTCACGGTGTCCTGACACCACTTGGCTGCACCTCCGATGGAGTCCGTCAGGCCGGCAAAGTCAAAGAGCCGGCGGCTCACCTGGGGTCGAAGGACGGCCCAATCGCGCCCAGTCGAAGGACGCCCCAAATCAGAACGGAACCAGAAGCTACGAACGGGGCTCCTGGCCTTCCTACTGGGAGCAAGGACGCTACATGGGGTGGCCCCAACAAATGAACCACTTTCGCCATCAATACTGTAGCGTCTTGGACCGATCTCGGGTACTCAAGTGCTTTGCCAATGTCGGTCTGCCTGATTGCCGATCTCTGGGCAGTCCAGAACGGTGATACGAGTAGCAGTGATAAACAGAGTGTTGTGAAATCAACCCGCCTGAGGAAACCTTGGAATTCTGGCTTTGCCCTCACATCATGCACCAGTGCCCCACATGTCCATGAGTCATGGGCCTCCAAGGCTTGCCTCGACACGGGGTCATCTCCATATTGCTCAGTGAGCACCTGCGCTCACAAATTGCTAGAACACATGGCTGAAAGCAAAGCCAAGTGGATGCACGTAGATGTTTTGGGCTTGTTGGTCGACCGCCCAACTCTCCAACGTTTAGCAAAATGTCTCAACTCTCCCTTGCCTCTAGGAGCCGTCGCGGATCTGAATGCCGCACCACCTCTGGTCAAGAAATTGTTGCTCCCTTTTCTATGTCCGTCTAAGGCCAGTGCAGGTGCAAAGTGGAGTCTCGTATTATACAGTCTTTATGCCGTATCCTCCCCCAGCACCTCCAAACCAAACAGTCCCTTGGCCCCCATGTATTCATTGCCAGGTGTGTGTGCCCGTGTTCGCTTTGAGTTTGGGTGCTTCTGCCCCTGCCCGAACAAGAGAATTTCCGTGCTCTGCCGCCCATGTCCATATCCAGCCAAACTGTCCAGAAACACCACCTGCTTGGAACTCTCTCCAAACAATGTTATTTCCAACGGTTTCGACTCTTTTTGACCTGAAGGTTCCCGAACCGCACCTCTGACTGCTCGACGAAGCCTGGCGCCGCCAGAAGCCCTCGCACGGCCAGAAGGCCTGGGAGGTCCGTCGAGGTGGAGGCACCAAGCTCACAAGGGAAGGTCAAAACCCGGGCACCCTGGATGAACAGGGAGGTCAACCTCCCATGGTTTGGTGCAGGTTGTGATGGCACCAGGAGCCCGACCGGATTTTGCATGGTTTTTCCCTTCCGCTGGTGGACCTCGTGGACTGGTCGGAAAGGCTAGAAGCGGGCCGACGGCCGGGCGAACACGGATCCAACGACCCATCCCCACAGTGGCTCGCTTCAACGTTGGAAGGAGGATGCTCCACTCGCAGCCAGCGTGGCTGGAGTTCCGTGTGCGCCGGATGGGAATAGAGTGTCGACGCAGGGGGCATTGAAACGACCGCAGGAGACTTATGTTGTGTCTTCCTTCAACGGGTCAGTGCGATAGTCGTTGGCAGCATGGCAGCCAAGAAAAGTGCTGGGAAGACTTTTCTGTAGATCCATCCCATGGCGATTCCCCTGAGCAGTCAGGTCTGAGCCCCCAACACAGGCCAGCACGAAGCACCATCATGGGCGATCTACAGTCTATGCATCATAAAGACCAAAAACAGCCAGGGATATGAAACATGCCCTGTCATTTTCAAGCCAAGATCTCTCAAAAGTGCTCCAGAACAACATCCGCAAATGCTGCTGTGCAACTCCGTGGCTGCTGGACTTCGACTCTTTCCCCCTGAAGATCATTCCCATCTCTGCCCCTTTGGGCAGCCGACCCGGATGGGGCTCTGGCCAGGGCCCCTCGGCGCAGGAGAGGCGCCCGAAAAAAAGGGAGCGCGGCCAGTGGATTCAGTGGCCGAGCTGTACCGTTGTCCAGGGTTCAGTGGCGGACAAGTCCACAAACACCGAATAGATGCTCCAGTTCAGTTCAACCAGCAAAACCCTGCATGTTGAGCCAAGAAGCCTTTTTGGGCCCATGGTCCCTCTATAGCCCCAATCCCTGGTGCCAAATCCCCTAAGGCGTCGTGCGCTCGCTGGGTTGTTTTGTTCACTACCTTCAGCAGTGAACGGTCCGGTGGCTCCTTTAAGTCTGCTTAGCAGGTTTGGAGCCCCGAACTCCCGCCAACCGGTTCTTAAAAAAGCGAATCTTCAAGGTGAAATGTCTGCAAACCCCTATTCTGACAAACACTTTCGGCGCAGCGCCAGCTATGCTGACTGAGGGGTACTTCGCATTTTGGTCAAAGCACTCTTCATTCAATCAACTTGGTTGGCGGGTGGCTAGGCCAATTATTTCTGAAAGAACACCTCAGCTGGCGTCCAGGGCCTCTCGGAATCGAGTGTAATCTCGCACCACCTGGACGGAATCATGGAAGGACTCCTTCTGCAGCGCATCAATGGCGGCATGCACCTCATCCTCCTCCTATCACAAAACTCTTCAGCCATTCCACAGCTCAAGCTGCTCAACAGCACTTCACTTCATGCCATGTCATGTCGTTTTGAACGGTAGTTTTTGAGTTGAACACTGCTGACTCTACTTCAAAAGACGTTCTTAAACTGGCCAGACTCCACACAACCCTCCGAACCCTCATCGAAACAACCTGAAAGCTCCTTGATCCCGGCCAGCTCTTCACTGATGGTACTGTTCGGTTCCTTGTGACAGCTGAAGCCCCCATTCAGCGCTGCGAAGAAGGCCGGCACGAACTGCGCCTTACGCGAGACTAGGCCTCCGACCTCCATCAGCGTCTCTTCTGCCCGGATGGTGTTGCCTCGTCCGAACGGACGAGCACCGTCAACACTGGTGTAGCAGCACCCCCGCTCGAGAAAAGCTGGCGCCAGGGCCTTCCAACACACACGGTTCAACGCAACCTGCTGAAACAAAAGCTCAGGAGACGTCCCACGGCGTCCCATCTCCCCAAACGTCCCGCCTGGCGCTTTCAGGCCCGGCTTGGCCTCGCGCAAAGGCTTCTCGGGGAAGGCACTCTTGGCGAGCGCCAGCTCGCGGCCACCGGCCACCAACAAGTAGCTGAGCTGCTGCGTGACATCCACCACGAACAAATAAGCGAAGTCCAACTCCTCCAAAGCTTGAAAAAGTAAAGCCAAACCCATGACAAATCGCTGAGTGGACCTTTGCCTACCATGGGCAAGCTTGGTGTTTTGAAGGGCGATCCGCACAAGGAAAACGGCTGCAAAACCCCTCCAAAGATTGAAAAAGTAAAGCCAAACCCATGACGAATCGCTGAGTGGACCTTTTCTTACCGTGGGCAAGCTTGGTGTTTTCAAGGGCGATCCGCACAAGGAAAACGGCTGCAAAACGCCTCCAAAGTTTGAAAAAGGTAAAGCCAAACCCATGACGAATCGCTGAGGGGACCTTTGCTTACCATGGGCAAGCTTGGTGCTTTCAAGGGCGATTCGCACAAGGAAAACGGCTGCAAAACCCTGCATTCCCACCATTAGAATAGTCCAGAAAAACCTATGTGATGAGATGGGAGAAAACCCAGAATTCTATTCGAGCATCCGGCATTGGTCGAATCAATATGACCTTTGGAATCCATTTCAGGAATGTGTTTGCACCATGTCTGGCGAGCATCCTTTCGGCGGTCATGCTGCCCGTTCTTCAGTTGCCCTTTCTCCACTTTCAGAATCCGCAACTCCATCAGGAGTTCCTCAGGCCACAAGCTTCGCAGCTTCATCTGCCGTCAGAGAGTTCCAAAACCGCTCACCCCAAAAAAGTCAGAGTACTGCAGAGATCCAAAGTACTGAGGACCTTCCTCTAATGTATGCCTTTGCAAGAAGGGTGAAGCCTTCAGCCTCCCCGCACTCTTCGCACCGGTCCGCGCGGCGCGTCCCACCGAGGCACGTCGGCGACCTTGAGGACCGGCTCGGTGTCGGTGACCTCGAGCACGGCAATGCCCACCTGCCAGGAGGTCGGGAGGGCAGGGGCGTCCGAGGGTGGTCACGGCGCGAACCAAAGGATGCTAAGGAGGACAGGGGGTGGAGGAGACGTATGTGATGGTGCGACTTAACAAGACGAACATCCCCAAAAAAAAAGACACAGGAAACTGGGGCGGTTGGCCGGGGCGCCCCCGCCCCGCCTTCCAACCATTGGCCGTGAAGTCCTTCTGATCACCACGGGTCATCTCGTAGGCGCCCAGTCCTCCGGTTTCCCGGGGCCAAAAGAGGAAGGATGGAAACAATAGGAAATAATCAAAGGCCGAAACGGCCGTTGAAGAATAACCAAAGGTGGCAACCTTGTGACTAGTGCTGCCTGTAGTCATCCTAGCTTGCACTTGATAGGAAGGGAGTGGGGAGTCCAACTGACTTTGCAGTTATAATGCCGCAGTTTGGGGCTCCAGTTGCTCCAGGGCCTTTGGAAGCTTCAGGGCCTGACTGCTGTGCATCCTACAAGAATCTGGAGTCTGGAGACTTGAAAACTTGAGAAATGACAGAGTGTGCCCCAGGTGGTTGGAACTGTTCCAGTTCCAGATCCATTGTCAAAGAGCTGCCAGCTGTCCCGGGGCGGGGGGATCAGTTCCAGTTTCAGATCCGCTTCCAGTTCTAGATCCAGTTCTAGTGCAAGTTCTAGTTGTCACGTCAATTCCTACGATGAAATTAACATGTTTTCTGGGTGGGGGGGGGTCCTGTTCCAGATCCAGTTCTATTTCCAATTCTAGTTGTAATATTTGTTTTGTGTGGGGGGGGAGGAGGTCCAGTTTCAGATCCAGCTTCAGTTCCAAATCCAGTTCTAGATCTAGTTAGTTGCGATCCCAATTCCTCTGATAAAGGAAATCCATAAAGTAATTGGTTTTATGCATTTTCTTGGGGGGTGGGGGAGTTCCAGTTCCTGATCCAATTCCAGCGGAGAACGCTATGAGAAATGAGGCACTATTACTATTAGTCACTATTAGCATGGCCATTGGACCCAGGAACAAAGAAGTGCTCATAGCACCCGTTCCCAAACAAAGCACTGCCCGCCCCAGCCCCCAGTCCCACAATCCACTCAGTCTTCGCACGGAACATCTTCCGTGCCAGCTCGTCCGGGTCGTCGCACTCGCCCAGGATACACAGCACCGTCACGAGAAAGCGGTCGGCGTTGGTGGTGGTCACGCTCTGCAGGTTCAAGGTGTCCGACAAGATGGCAGCCAGCAAAATCCGCGCGATGGCCTGCGGCAGCTGCCAGGCCATATCCGGGATGCCCGGAGCCAATTAAAGGAGGAATGACAAGGACAGTTTCGAAAGGGGTGGGCTGCCTACCCCTACCAATGGGAGGAAGAAAAATCCTCACTCTTAGGTAAGGGTCAAGGGGCGTCACCTTGTTCAATCGGGCCATGAAGTTTTTCCCCCACCAAATATCCTTCGAATTGTTCCAGCTCTTCGCCCTCCAACCCGAAACCCCAGCGACGCCCCGGGCACCTTGGGAATCATGCGGTTTCCTCGGATGAAGGCGTGGGTCACGATGCTGCTCATCGAGCCCCAAGGCCTCCATTGGAAACTTCGGATTCGTGGCACGGAAGTGTCAACCCCAAGGGACCCCAAGCGTTGAACCAAACAATTGCAGCAGCTCAAAAGTTGAGTGTTAACAAGAACTCCGAGGCAAAAGGGCTGTGCAATAGGCCCCTTTTGGGGCTCGAGAGAAACAACACACTGATGAACCACCCAACTTTCTGACCTATTTCATGTTGGCGGAAGAGAATGACCCAAGAATTAATGCAGTGGCCTTTAGTGGTTTGTCCGCTGGCAAATCCGTCTCCCTGCGCTGAGTCTCTGGGAAGCCGAAATTTTGGGTGGTTTCCTTCAAGTCAGCGGGGATTGGGCGAGCTCAACCAATTTTCAATTCAACGACTTCCTTGTCATGGTCCAGTTCCTGAAAACTGCCCAAAGGGACACGACTTCCACGCCTCACGTCCATGAACAAAGGCTTTTCCGAGGCCATGGACTCTGCCAGCGCGTGGTGGTCGATCAGCCCGATGATCCGCTTCTTCCGGTCGGGCGCGTCACGCAGGGAGGGCACCATCTGCTTATCCTGGCCAGTGGCGCTCTGGGCGAGAAGAAGGCGTGCAGGCCACGGGTAAGAACGACCTGTCCCTGGAACATTCCAAAGACAAAAGTGCCAATGAGTTCCTCAAAACCCAGTTGATGAAGACGCTCCGAAACATGCAGTGCCCCCGAAACCTCGTTGTGGTCCACCAAGCACACTGGCAGCAGCTTGCCCGCGGCATCCGGTTTCGCTGCTCCGGGGTGATCGTCGAAGAAGGGCGGCGGTTCCAGGCCTCAACGGAGGGAACAGCGGCGCCTCTACCACACGCTGACCCATGCCCAAATTCCGACTCATCCAAGCCAAACATGACTCTAGATTGCATGACTATGCACCATTTGACAAAAGGTTTCATTGATGAATCAATTTCCGCACCCGCATGTCCTCCCACCTGCCCACTTCAAGGCATACATGATCTCCCCGTTCAAATCCATCTCGGCGCGAGTGGCGGTCCCCTGCCACAAACACGCGCCGCCTATAGCTCCCGCAATGCTGTCCAAGTCCGTCTTGACATGCCCCACGAACAAGGCGCCCTGCAAGATTTTTTCCACACACAACTGCTCGATGAAGGCTTCAGCTGTGGGATTGGCCACTTTGTCCTGAAATTCTTCAGCCAAATCTTTGGCCATGGCCCGGTATTCGGCCAAAGCTTCATCTGTCTTGCTCATTTCCATCAGCATGCCAAATTTTTCCTGGGCCGAGTGGTTTGCGAATGGTTTGGGTTTGGACACGCGACCTGCCATCGGTGATCGGTTTGGGTCAAATGTCTACCTTTCCCCTTTCGGTGTGCTTTCAGTGCCCTGCCCACATGACAGGTACGTCGGTCAATAGTACACGTTGTGCGGGCGGAATGCCACATTGCAAAACAAACCATGTAAACATGCAAATGGTCCTTTTCGGCAGGCTTTGAAAGCTGAAATGGGTAGACTCCGTTCACGGATCAGGCCAAACTATAGGGCTGTGGGCTATACATGGAACCCCTCACTAAAAAGCCAAGCCTCAATGTCTTTCTCAGTTCGGGCGGACTTGCCACCCGGACTGTCTCCTCCACCACGTGGTGTGGCACCGCCCGGCACTTCGAGGTGAGAGAGCATTCTGGCACCTTGACCATCTCCGTACAGCCACTCGAGCAATTGGTCAGCTGGAATCTCTCCGGCTTCGTTGGGTTTCACATGTTCGTACCTTGGACCAGGTTGCATGCTTGAGGTTGTGTGACTCAACACTGGCTAAAGGGCTGGGTCCCAAAACCCATTTTGACGTGCCAAGCTTCAAGATTTCAATGCCATCCTCTCCAAAGAGCCTTTTCAGCTGATCAACTTTCAGCGCTTGTCCTTGTGCCAACGCTTCGGACAAGCGTGCTTTTGCACGAGGCACTGCCGCCATCGCAGCACGTGCGGGGCTCAAAACCTGTGTTTGAGGCCAAAGCCTGCGGCGCGTCTCTGCCACAAGGTCCGCTGAACAAAAACATGTGGTTACCAAAAATCAACCATGGATGCTCAATCCTCAAACGCAATTATGCTGATGCTATTGCGCTTGCGTTGCCGCACACTACAATTCCTGACGGCACGACCACACTCAATTGCGGAATGCATTTCTGATATCCACCCACCATATGACCACCTGCCCCTGTGACTGCCCACACCTGCCCTCTAAAAGCACAATGATGAGCCCCAACCGCAAAACACATCTAACATGTGCCGAGGTTGGTTAATGCATGGGTTCGATCCAGAATGTTCAAGCGTGAGGGGGAGAAAAAACGAGGGAGAGGATGTTGTTTCGTTGAGTTCCCGTATTATATACTGGTTTCAGCTGCCCTCATGAGATGCAAAGTGTGCAGGCAGCTTCCGGAAGAACGCTCTCCAAGACCAACCCGGTTTCCTTCATCACGCAGCTGGCACAACACAAAGCACTCCAACATCCCCTTCCGCCACTGATACCCAAAAATGGTCAGCCCACAAGCCCTCGCCAAGCACACCAACAATGAGGGCACCCACCTTTCAGCCAACTCCTGGCCGAAACTCTCCCCCAAGAAGGCAGCTCAGTCAGTCAGCAACCAGCTGGACGTCGTGCGGAAAAGTTGCACAAAATTCACTCCGAATGTTGAATGGGGCAGGTTTTGGAGCAGGAACAACATGTGAGACAAATCTAAGTTTGCCAATGCAGTAAATGTTCAAACCTTTTTGTGTGAAACCTGTGCGAACAGGACCTTCCGGTTACTTGCAGGTTGGAATTGGCAAATGGACAGGCCACCTTGTAGCCGTGTTTTTTAACATCTTCTATTTAAACCTGCGGCTACTGTATAGAAAGGTGGCGGAATTCGATGGTTTCTATCGTAATAGCGGTGGCTCAGCAGCGGCGGCCTCCAACCTAGCAGCGTTGGCCTCCAAGCTCCAGCTGACGAGCGGCCCTGCATTGTGGATAGGTCAATGCGCTGGCCTCTGACCTAGCAGCGGCGGCCACTAGCGATGGCCACCTTTAGCTGGCCTCCAAGTTTCAATGGCCAGTAGTAGTGGCCTCCAACGTAGCAGTCGCCTCCCACCTAGCAGGGGTGGCGTCCAACCTAGTAGCGATGGCCTCCAACCTGAGAGCGGCGGCCGTTAACGGAGCCATGTCCTGCAATGTCTTCTATTTACACCTGCCCCTATTTTATTGATGGAGGAATGCGACGGCATCCAACCAACTAGTCAGGGGTGAGCCAATTTTTTTCATCCATGTGTGAAAAACCCAAGCGCGCAATCACGCACTTTTCAACTGTGCCGGTACGGCCTCGGAAGGTAAAGTGTTCTACCCCATGGTTCTGTCACACATGGGTCCGTCCTCGGTGTCCTGAATTTCACACATCCCGGGTTGTAGCATGTGTGACTTCCTGTGCTGTCTTTGTGTGCGCTTGGCCTCTAGCATGCTTTGCTCCTCCATGATAGCATAGCTATTCGAATGCAAGACATGACGAAGAAGCGTTGGCTTGACTGTGAGTTTTGTCATACAGTCTACCAACATTTGTTTCGTATCGATCCAGCGCATACTGACTTGGTGTTCTTTCACATCTCTTCTCAGCAACAGGACCTCGATTGCTTGCCGCTTGTCTTGAATCATACCTGTGTCATTTCGAACATGATCATAGAGAGGCTTGTTGTCGGTGACCGCAATGACATCCACATTGTTTCTCAACTTGTCAATGTTGTTCAAATTGTATTCTGAATTCAAAATCTCTAAGAAAAATTGCTTTGTCCATACGGCTTCAGCCACACCTTTTGAAACAGTGTACAATTCAGCTGCTAAAGTGCTGCTGACTGCCCTTTCTTGTTTCTGACTTTTCCACTTGAGTGGTGTCAATGGTGTTGCCTTGCCCTCATGCATTGCCTTTGTTGTGGCACAAACCATGTATGCAGATTGACTCTTCAAGTCTGTTTCCGTAGCCCATGATGCATCTGCTGTCACCAAAATGGTGAGTTGTTGTAAATCAATTGGAATAACCTTCACAGCCACATGTTTAAAATCTCGAGCCTCTGCAACTGCTTTGTTTGCTTCTGCGATGTGCTCGACAGTGCCATTCTGAATGTTCTGTTGAATCTTGGCTGTCATGGCTGCTAAGTCTGGTCTCGTGGCTGTTGATAGCCAGTTCAAACCGCCAGCTACTCCTCTAAGTTGACTCTTCTCTCGTTCGTTCAATGGTTGGTCTTTTTCTCTTTTCCGTTCTCGCGAAATCTTGATGGTGTTCAACTTCTCTGCATACTCCTTCTGCTCTATGGTGAAGCCCTCGTCTGTCCTGTGAATTTGTCGTCCCAAGAACTCTCCTCCGTCTGTTTTCCAATGTTTAAAAGGATACAATGCTCTCAGTTTGTCTGTCACGTGTTGCTTGAACATTGCTGTACCTGTACAAATCAAGTCATCAACGTGAACTGCCAAAGAACCATGGTATTCTGTATCCTGCCAATAATGGAACAAACATGGGTCCAGGCACGACTGTCTCAGTCCAGTGGAGAGTAGGCTACGAGTCAGCTTGTCATGCCAGGCCTTTGGAGCATCGGCTAGGCCATATACCGCTTTCTCTGCCAGTAGTAAGCTTCCTTCAGGTACTCCAGGCATGCCTCCCGGTGGGGGTTCAATGTATAGAGGACCTTCGTCACGATGTAGTTGATCTCCTTGAAGGAAGGCTCCTTCCACATCTCCAATGTTGAGCGGCCAATTCATTGAGGCACTAACTTGCAGGATAAGACTCAATGCCTCACCCGACAGGGTAGGTGCCTGCTTCTCGAGCTTGGAGATCGGGGTCTAGATAACCTCGAATGCACCATCTTGCTTTCTTCTTGTACTTGCCTGGTTCCTTCTCATCTGGCTTCTCCGTGATGACGAAGCGGGTCAGCTCTCTTGCTTTCTTCGAGAACCAAGTCTTTGTTTTTGTTGAGGCCATCCCAAATGGTCACCTCATATATCTCATGTTCTCCCTCCGGAATGTCATGTTCCAGGTCAGGCATCTTGATTTCAAAAACAGAGTATCCAGTCCACTGTTGCAATTCTGTCCGTTGCTGTGCAGGTTTGTTGAAGTCTTCGTCGATCACAACGGTATAGCCATCAATACCTTCTGTTCTGATCAAGGAATATCTCTTGCCTGTCAGCCACTGAAGTGGAATAGGACATGTCTTCTCACTTGGTTTGAATGGTCCTTGTTGATATCCATGGAGTCGGATAAGGACTCCATCATCCCAGGAAATCTTCCACTTCCTTGTTTTGTCTGTCCACTGCCCTGTATCCATTTCAGCCTGCAACGTGTCATGGATGTTTCGACTCTGTCTTCTCCCTGTATCAAGTCGGCTAAGGTCTTGTCTCATGGCCCTAGTCAGTGGTGTTTCACGGACGGGTCCATAACTGTTGCTGCTTGTCACCTCTGCTGGTGATGCACTCGGCATGTCTGTTGGTGTTGGATGTGTTGGCTCAGTGGATGTAATCATCTGACCTGTGTTGTTGTCCTCTGTGCTGTCCACTGGTTCGTCTTCTGGTACCTCAGTTGGTGTGTATGAAAGGCTAGGTGTTCCTGTTGGTGCCTCCTCCTGCATAGGCACTGGATGTGTTCTAGGCCCATCATAAGCATCTGTTGATAGATCCTGTAACTGCTCGTTCTCTTCACGTTGTCTCTTGATGGTGAAGACAGTACATCCTGTCCAGTCTGCTTGCTTGTCTCCGCCGCCAACCTCTCGCCAGTCATCAAACATCTCCTTCTTCACTGCGATCATGTTTTGGTAGTTGATCATAGTCTTTCTTCGACTGTTCAATCTAACCAAATCGATTGGTGGTTCGTCAGCTTCCAACGGAACATACAGGTGGTTTCGAGGTTGTACATGTATTTGCCTCTTCAGTTCCCAATAATCTCTTCCACTCTCAGCCTCTTCACTAGGCGGTCGCCGGTCAGCTGAGATGTCGTGGTACGTGGCTACACCACGCTTGGAAATGACATGGGACCAATCTATCAACTCCTGAGGAATGAGCCGAATGCTGGCTTCATCTTCGGCTCGCAAACGACGGAGTTGTTCAGGAGAACATTTCAGAACCTTCGTACCAAAGGAAACCCAAACCTTATCATGACCACTCGACCCGATAACTGTTCCGGGTCCCCTCCAAAACCAAGCCACCGAGCTACCGTCTTCCTTCTTCCTACCGGGTCTCCAAACATACACCTTACACCCAGGGTAAAAAGGCCCTCGCTCCGGTCGCGTCCGTCTCTCAACCGCACGACGAATCCGATCCTCGCTGTCGGCATCGATGAAGGCTTTACGGGCTTCTTGTCGCATCTGAACGGATCGAACGAAACTAGCGTCTCCAGCCAAATACCCACTGTTGACACCCACATGGAGGTTGTCCTCACCACCATACACCATGCCAGGAATTCTGGCCTGCTGACCAAAAACCCTTTGGTGGGGGGAGTGACCATCATGATTCACCATGGCATTCTTGGCAACATTGACCTGATGGATCAGCTCTTCCGCCTGTTTCTTATCATTCGGGGGAAAAACACTGGCCATCTTCATGAACATGGACTTCCACGTGCTTCCGTGTCTCTCGCAAAACCCGTTTTGCCAAGGAGAAAAACCCGCGCTACGTTCATCCGAGGTCCCGTCCAACCAAAGTCCCTCCTGAAAGGGTCCCTCGAACTCCGACCCATTGTCGGCAAACAAGCGTTTCGGCGCTCCGAACGTGGCCTTCCAATGTTTCCGATAGGCTCGACGAGTCTCTTCGGCGTTTCGACCGGCCCACAACGGCATGACCAAGTGGAAAGAGGTACCCTCGCAGATGACACTCAAAAACGAAACCTTTTTCCCCAAAATCTCCAAGTCGAACGTGTCGCAGCAGACCCCGGAGTTGAACTCGAACGTACGGCGGACCTTACTGACCTTGGGAGCTTTGAGTCCTTGGTGGCTTTCACAAATGGGACACTTATACTCCCTAGCGTACCTCAAAGCACTCTCGGAAGCTCCGGCATGCTTCAGCATCAAACAAAACCTTTCCGCGCTAGGGTGGCCTAAGTTCTGGTGGGCCCGTCGAATGCTTTCCCGAACATGATGTTCCCCCTCATGTTTTCCAACAGCTTCAACAGCAAGAACCTCACTCCTTGGGGAGTGCCCTTGTTCCCTTCGTTGTTTTTGTTGGACAATGCATTCACAAACCACTTGACAAAATTGCCGAGGATACACTTGCGCCAACCTAGTCCTATTGACCCACTTCCCAGCATGTCTCACCTGTCCCTCACAGACCTGATGGTCATGGTTCTTATCGCAGGTGCGTCCCAACTTGTCCATGATGTCCTTGTCCATGTTTCCTATAAGTCTGGTCCCCTTTTTTATCGGAGTCCCGGTGTCCACGTCTTTCATGCCGAACATGCACATGTCCAACACAACCATGACGACTCCCTCCGAACCACTCAGTTCACCCAACGCTTGACATTTCCATGATCGAGCATGAACCGGATGTTCAAAAAGAAAGTATCTCCCCTGTCTCAACTGCAACTTGCACACTTCGATGCCAAAAAGGAGCAGGGTCATGGCCTTCTTTCTTTCATCTTGTTCTTTACTTTGGTCCTCACATGGTTGCCGGATCGTGGAAAAATAGGTGCATGGGGGGCAAACAATGCAAATCAGAGGTTTCGTCTCCGCGATGCGTCGATACACCTGGTTTCGAATTTCGGGGTTCAACAGGTCATCTCCTAACTGCAGGTCAAAACAATCACCACCTCTCAGTCCATGGTCACGACCCTCATGGGACACACGTGGGACAGAAAAAACCTCGCAGATGTCAGGACCTTCCCAGCCAGCATCCTGGCAGCTCTTTTGCCATGCCTCGTGACAGTCATAGCTCTCTAGTGCCTCAATCACACGTCGGAGCTTGCGACGTGTCTTCCTGTTCATACTTTGTCCTTCTATGTCGGTGATGTCAGTCACCCCGGACTGTGAGTCGTTCGACTCATCTGCACTATCCGACATATGGGATGTAGGAGAATCTATGCATCCTCTGCATGATGAGGGGTGGTGTTGCTCACCGCCAACCTCGAGAGGATCCTCGCCA